TTCGAATGAAAGGTAAGCCGCGATTGGCTGCAGCAGGTTGGGATCGATGATGATGCTGCTGCTGCTGCTGCTGTTACTGGTGTTGGTTGGTGGTGATGGGTGATGGGTGGTGGTGGTGGTGGTGTTGTTGCTGGTCGGTTTTGTAGAAAAGAGAGTGCCAACATGGCCTCGAAGTTTCCTCCCGAACAGACAGAGAGATAGATAAAATGAGAACCTTTCAAATTACGCGCACGCCTTTTCTTATTTCTCATTCTTCTTAGTTAACAACAACAACAAAACAATAAAAAAGGATTAAATGATCGAACCAACTTAATACAAGGGTTTTATCCTTCGATCTGTCCTTTTTTTTTTTATTAATTTTTGTTCTCTCTCTCTTTCTTTAAGTTCACTCCTTTCTCTTTCCTTTTTTTCCTGTTTCCTGGACGTCCTTGAAAATTACTCAAGGAAGACTACCATCGTCTCCTCTTCTCCCCTTTCGTTAATATTTTCTGTACAATCCCGGAAGAAGAGTTTTAATGAACTTCGGGAGTGGCACACACCACCACCTATCCTTCTCTCTCTCTCTCTCTCTCTCTCTCTTTCTCGTCCTCGTTTTAATCGGTAGAACGAGGAGACACAAGAAGCACAGACACACACGAAGATCTACTGGTTGGTTGGTTGGTTGGTTGGTTGGTTGGATGAGGCGAGATGGATGGGTTGGATGGCTTTCAGCCATGCACATTTCATGCATCCTTGAAGAGCACCATTAGGTTGCCAACAGCACCTTTGGATTTGATTATTCTTCTATTACCAGCCAACAGTCAATGGACACAATTACTGTGTTGTCTGTTAATCGAGAATAATTAATATAATAATTTAGTCATATAAATGAATTATTCTCATGTCAAATTAAATTTCTTCTTCCTCGACTATGGGCAAGCTACTTTGGTGTACCAAAGGACTCGTTCTAGCTGTAAACGCCATTATCCAATAATCCAATTCCTTTTTGTTCTCCATTAAAAAGGTCAATGCAACTGGCGAGTCAAAGCCCTTTTGACGTACGAGAAAACCCTCGTCAGCTAATCTTTCAATAGTCATATTTCTCAAATTGAGTACACCCAATGGTCGGCAAACCTTTTTTTGAGGATATATTACAGCAAAGTGTTCTACGCTTGTACGATAGACCTTCACTTGCACGCCCTGTCGTTGACCGTTCGGACCAACCAACGTCATATAACCGCTCATGTTCTCAGTATTCCAACAGGAGTCAACATTAGAATCCTTTAGGCTGGATTTATTGAATTGTAAAAAGTTGGTATGCATTGCTGCTACGTCTGCCGGCATCTTGATGATTCCTCCTATTGTTTTGTCTTTCTTTATCACAAATTTCTTCCTTTCCTTTTCTTCCAGAAAATTCTCCTCTTCTTCTTCTATCGCCTCCAGCGAAAAATGATCCGCCAGTACCATACGTGTATATTTTTTATTATAATAATAATATTAATAGATTAAATAAATAATTAAACAATTGTTTGTTATTGTTCGGAAAACAAATGATTTTGACAGCGCTTAAATAGAATTCTTTTTTTTTTGTCCTTTGTAGACGAGTGAGAGAAAAAAAACAAGCAGAAAATATAATTAAAAGAAGATCCAAGCAAGCAAACAAGTAAGCACTCTTTCGTCTGATTGCGCGCTACCAACTACCCGCGAAAACTTTCAGCGCTAATATTTATATGGTGCATCTAACTAACTTGCGCATGCGTTGATATCACCAATCGAGAGGAGTGGGGGATGAGATGGAACCATTAAACGTGTCGCGTCGTTCTGACGATGTTTTAAACGAAAGAGGATTCGCGCGTAAAGTGCATCCACACACACACACACACACACACACCGTTTCTCATTTTAAACGTGCGAAAATAACAAGCCACGTTATTTTTCTTCTTATTTTCACATTTCATTTTATTTGTTTTTTTTTTTTTTTTTTTTTTTTTTTTTTAATTATTTTCTAACGCTTCTCGTCAATTTTGTTTACTTCTCTCCAATGTCGTCGTCATTATATCTGATTTGAATTCGAACGAATTGTTTTTTAAATTAAAAACAAGCGCATTGTTTTGTTCTTTAATAAATATTCTCTCTTTGAAATAAACTTGAATAAGCTTTTTTTTTTGGTATTTGTTTATTTTCCATTGAATATAATATTATTTGGAAAAATAACAGGAAGTTGATTAACATTTTGTTTCGTTATGATGATTTAGGCATGGATCGTTCGTTGCACGGGTCAATAAAAATTAAAAAATTAAACAACATATTTTTCGATAATGAAAAATAAAAAATAAATTACGATAATACAAAGAAAGAAGAATTAATTATAATGAAAAGATCTAATCTAATAATTGTATTATTATTAATAATAATAATAATAATAATAATAATGCGAGAGTTTGTCAGAGAAAAATTATCTAATTGTAAGAAGAAGAGAAGAATTATTTTTTTATTTGACATGGGTTGTTTCATGGTTCTATAAAAATAAAAAATAAATAAACGAAAATACAACGAAAGAAGAATTAATTATAATCTAAAAGATCTAATCTAATAAATGTATTATTAATAATAATAATAATAATAGTACGCGAGAGTTTGTCGAAGGAAAATTTTCTAATTGTAAGAAGAGAAGAGGAAAACCCAGCTGACGGTCAATAAATACCGATGAATATCTGGCAAAGATGAAAAGGACAGGGTGCGTGCGTGTTTCAAGTGATTCACCCCCTAAAATTCTCGTTCTTAGCGTTCCGTTCGCTAAATTCGAAGAGTACGGGGTAAAAAGGGAATTAGTAGACGAAACTCGGCCGGTAGCCAAATGCGTGATTCTAGGAAAGCTTCTAGCAGTGACAAACGATGGAAAAGGCACGAGAGCTATGTCACCTTAATTTAATACAATTTCTAAACGAGAGTACAATGAACTCTAAATAAAAATAATCATCTTTTTCCTTTTATCTTTTCTTTTCTTTTTCCCTTTTTTTCAATTGCAATTTCAATTTCATTTGATTAATTAATAATTAGATATTGATTCATTGATTTTATATATATATATATATATATATATATATATATATATATAAAATAATATATGTGTAAGAATTATTGAATCATTTTTACAAATAGAAAAAAAAAAAAAAAAGAAAGAAAACAAAATCGAACGAAAAAGAACAAAATTCTTG